AAATTAGCCACAATTAATTCCTCAAAGAGAAGAGGATTAAGAGAAATAAAAAACGAAAAAAAGGATTGAGAAGCAGAGCTGGAAAAACGCAAGTTGGTGCAATGTGCTATGTACCAGAGGCATTAATTCTTAGGGTTACATGTCTCTGCTCTGACTCCATCATCCCATTTGAGAATAGCTGCACAGAAAGGAACAAGAAATTCATACAAAATCGCCTGAAGAGACAAATACTAGAAATTCTCAAATTACCTTAAAGAAAAATGGACTCTTTGCTGCTAAAATTGGAGAGCTAATATGTAATGTTTTAACTCTTAGAACTCTTGAACTATCGTCAGACCAATTCGAATCATCACTACTTGCATCTTCATCTCCTGCAGCAGCAATTTGATAGCTTTAATTTAGAGGAGAACAGATTTTTGTAAAGAGATATGCAAGTCAGTCCACGTGGATTACCAAATTGTGCACACCAAAATACGTTAAAAGTATATAACTATGATGGAAATATGCAAATACAAAACTTTTGCCAGTTATTGGCATAAAGATTTACTTGATCCTTCATTTTCCAGCTATTTAGGTTACTATATATCCACTAACTGTGGAATATTACTTAAATTGTTTCTTAACTAGAGAACGATAAATTTTAACAAAGTAATCTCTGACCAGCTACTTGATCTTGTTTTATCCGCAGTCCCCAATTATAACATTCTCTATAGGTAATCTATTCAGCATATAATCAATACCAAGCGGACCCTTTGATCCCACTGCCCATTGGCAATAAATCTCCCATCCCCGAAAGCAAACCTCCTGTATCTAGTACACAAGTAAATCTTATCTCAGTCTTCCATCTTGATGTCTTCGAACATATAGGATGACGTTGAAAAACAGAACATTGAAGGTTTTGATTTTCAATTGTCTCACAATTTTAATCTAGACTTGAAATGCCTAATACAGTTTGTCAGTTTCCCCAGAACTAGTCAAAACACTGCATGGGTTCTTAGACCAGTTATAAAGATATTGCCCAAAGATGAATAGGAAAGTGATGATGAATGTTTTTCTTTTAATACCTGGGGACAATTCTTCAATCATTGGAATTTCTTCTTCGTCGTGATTATCATCATCCACACAAACCTCAATATCAGGCTGCTGACAATCAAGTGTCTGCTCCTCCGGGCGAATGTTGATATCCAAAGCTGCAAACGAGTGGCACATGTCTGATTAACATCAACACAACCCATACCAGCATAAGAATGAGAAGACGTTTTAAAACTACGCAAAATTGCAGAAATAAAGCATTCATGCAACAGAATATCTGGAAAAGGTAGTTAAATTTCAATCCATAACTTCTACAGGAGCAACAAACTAGGGTTAGGTCCAAACCCAGAAAAGGATAGTTTGATGAGAAGCATAGCTTATTACAATATCTTAACAGAAAAACAAAAATCAGGTCCATGTTGCAATATGATCAACACTGAAGAGGAAAAGAAAAGGAAACAAAGTGAACCCAATAACAAACTTGGTGGCATGGAACAAGGTGAAATTGGAATTAGAAATGGGAAGTTCACTTTTTAACAAAATCCAAATTGTCAATCAACTCAGCCTAACTACACTATTTTGATGCAACATCGAATTGAAAAAGTTCAACTATTGGAAAAACCATAGTCAAAAAGTTTAGAATTATATTTATTTAATGAAAATTTCCCAGTTATTTTTCCTAAATTGCAACTATGAGACTGGTATCTCCACACTGGCAATCCAGACAGGGAAGAGTCTAAAAATAGGTTTTCCAAGCAGGGTGTTGCATTTTAGCCAACTTCAGAATCCGAGTCCAATGATCGACTCACTTCTTAGTGAGCCAAGCTCAATTAACATCACTTAAATTTCATTTATTTATTTATTTATTTTAGTTGATAATTTATCAAGCCAAGAACAAGCTAACAACTTCCTTAGGAGTGCTATAACTCGCACGATATAGACCACAAAAAATAAGAAGGTGAACCACAATGAAAAACATAAAACCTTACATTCTCAGCTATATTCCTTTGAATCATGTTTTCTTTTTATATAGCTCCACTTTCAAAATAAACGTAATTAACAAGATTTTATTTTTTCCAATCCAACACATAAACAGTAATAATTAATAAGAACACGTACATCAAAAACTATCACAATAAGGAACAATTACCACATAACCCAAAATCGTCAATGGTCAAGCGTGTGTATCTATACATACTTGACTACTGCAAGGTGGACTCACCATTTTTCTTCTCGACGATATCTTCACGGCGGCGCTTGCTTTTGCACGTCGCCCAATCAGCCAGGGTTTGGCAACCCTCCGAGTCGGGTCGGGTGTCCAGGGAGTCCGGTATGATCTCGATTCGGAGGAGTCGGTCGGAGAAGTTGCTGTCGTTGAAGGCGAACCCGAAATCGTCCTGCTCACGACCGTTTGACGGTGAAAGACTGCAGTCGGAGTCCATCACGGCCGTCCTCGGATCAAATAAATCCAGACCCGCATCCCTCATTTTCTCTCTCTAGCCACTCAAAGAAGTCTGATAATCTACTAAACAGGCAAAACCCTATGGTTTGGATTGGGTCAATCAAATTAATAAATTCCTTGGAATTTGGCAGATTGGGTGAGTTTCAGCAATAAATGCCTGTAAGAACAATTTGATGCGATTGTAATTATATATGAACAAGAGTTAATTTCAACCATGTTAAGAAATTTCAAAATGATTATTAAAGTAATTTATTCATAATAATTTCAAAAAAGTGTTATGATGAACTAATCAACGTTATTTTGTTTGTTAAAAAATCACGTGTCAAAAATAATTTATGATTCTAAGTTTCATTTACAAACCACTCAATAATTGAATCGAACCAAATCATGGCCCACTTAATAAAGATGGAATTTCGAGTTAGTTCTCTATATTTGGCAAAAAATTTTGTCCCTCGTCCCGCATTATTCCAATTCAAATGAGATTGAAATTCTCTCCCAAATTTCTTGAATCTGCCTTAATTCCTTTTATTTTATTATATTTAATATTATTTTTATGTTTTCAATTTAAATTGTATTAAAGTTTTTTAAACTTATATGAAAAATAATTATTTAATTAAACATTACAATAAATAAGGAATTTTTAATCCATGCTTGCCTAGTCCACTTCATTGTCCTTTTCAGGTTTTTCTTGGGTCTTTCTCGCATCCAGCACTTCTATGTTGGGATGAGAAAAAAATTCGTTAAACCTGATATTCGTGTGCCCCATCCCAAATGGGGCTGAAATTATCTGCATAATCAAGTTAACGGGTGGGTATGGAACGGAGATATTGCCCTGAAACATGTACAAGACAGGTACGGAAATCATAGTCTCAACCCCGCTTAATGTTAATTTCGAATTTAAATTTTTTATCAAACAAAAACAAAGATTTATCATCATTTTAAAAGAGAATATGAATTGTTCTTAATAAATTGAAAAAAAAAAAAGTAATAATATTTATTAACTAAATACATTTAAAAAAAGGTAAAATAAATAAAAAATAAATGAGACAAGGATCCCTAATCCCGCCCCAAAACCATTCCATCCACTTTAACCAGATAGGAGGACGGGGAATTTGACAAAAATACCCTACGAGAAGGGGGTAATTATGGCCAACTGATCTCATATTCGCTCATTTGCTATCCCTAACTCCACGTTCAATAAGATAAACATCTTCATTGAATACATCCTATATTACGCTACAGCAATCAATCGTCTAATACCAAATGACATTGCAGAAAAATCTAGTCAACGTGTGTACAAAACTCAATTAGTTCCACAAAAGTTTTTGGTCATCTTATAAACATGAACCATGAAAGTAGGTCAAAAAAGACGAGCAAATAAATTAGTTGTTAATATAGAACCAAACATTAATTAATGTATTATTATAATAGTAGGATCTCTTGGGTTGATAATATTCGCTTAGGCCCCGTTTGATACGTCAAATTTTTCAGGAAACTAAGAAAATATTTTTCACTTTTCACTTTTTTGACTGTTTGATATGCGAAATTTTCCACGGAAGATATTTTACTTCTTTCCTCCACACGTATGCATTTTCTGACTTTTTGATGAAAATTTTTTCCCACCTTTTTGGTGAGAAAAAATTTTCCAGGCTGGCTGGAATTTTTTTTTTTTTTCGCAATGGAAACAATTTTTGAAAGAAATTTCAAACTTCAGTGACCGTTTCTAAAATTTTGAAACTTCAGTGACCATTTGTGCAACTAACCCTTTTCCCTACAAAACATTTTCTAGGCAAATCTTTTCCCTGTAAAATATTTTATTTTTTCCCATTTTCCACCATTGCGATCAAATGCACCATTTCTTAATCTGCAAGAGATCGTAGACCATTTAAAGGAGCAACGATATATGTATTGCAAAATAGAATAATAATATATCGTCATGCTGACAAATAACATTATTCAACAAAAGCTTTGTCAACCCTGTTATTTATGATAGGGCCCACAAAGCTAGGTCAGATTTGACTGGTCAAAAATTACCTACCTCCTAGGAGTCCAAGGACAAACGTGTTATATTTTGACCAAACCAAGTCGAAAAGATTGCCAATGTAAAGCCATACTAGCCTTATAATGTAATCAGATTTATATAATGTTAATTACACTATAGAGACCAAATCATACCAAATTCACTTGATATTAGAATTGGGAACCAAACTTCATTCACATCGGTTAATTATATAGCACAGTAGACTCACAAGTAAACTTTATTCAAGTAAAAATGCATCCCATGTCGATGATAACCCCTCGTCCCAAGTTATCGTACAAATTTGTGCACAGGGAAGATTCATAAACAGGATAAATGAGCATTGTAAATGTATGTAGTACTTGTGGGTCCTACAAAAGTGTTTTTAGACCAACTCTTTCTTATGAATTGAAAATATCTACAACAAATTATGATCACACATCAGTATAAATTATGTTGTGCAAAACAGTACCGGACAAGGAACTGCATTTAACAATCATGATCCCTTGAATCTACAAAATTGCACAGCTCATGCATCCTGGACACCTTCCTTCTACTATCTCGAAATTCAGTATAAATTATGTTGTGCAAAACAGTACCTGACAAGAAACTGCATTTAACAATCATGATCCCTTGAATCTACAAAATTGCACAGCTCATGCATCCTGGACACCTTCCTTTTACTACCTCGACATTTCAAATTTTGAACAGTATACATGGTTTTTTCGATGTGTGCCCGACTTCTGTGAAATAATCTCGTCCTTCAGCAGGCATATTTAAAAGAGGTAAACGTTCCAAATTCTTGCAATCACCCGTGCTCGTCTTGGCAACTTCTAAACAGGCTCATGGAGACCTAAGACATGGCCATCGACACACCTCATGGCCACAACCTAGTTAAGCCATGACAAGAATCAAGATCAAGTTTACATAATTTGGACACAGAGGAACGAAAACACAAATTAAGCTTTCTGAGTAATCTGTGATTACAAATTTAGAGTTAGCAGGACCTATATGACATCTTTGCCCATTAAGCATGTTTGGCTAAGCTTAATAAAATCAATTTGCAAGTAAATAAGTAAGTTTTAAGATATTGATTTTACTCGAAAGTAAAAACATGTTAGTTATCCGAATATGTTCGAAAACAAAAAGTAAGTTTTACTTATCTTTAAGCTTAGCCAAGAAAAAAATAACATAGTGAAACATGTTTGGATTCTAATGTAAAAAGTGATTCCAAAGATCTACAATTTAACTGCTTGGGAGATTACCTTTCCATGGACCTCGTATTTGATTGGACCATCCATCTCTGCGCCCAAAGCCATCAGTTTTGTCACCGTACTGTTGATATCAGTCACTGTAAAAGATAGGAGTGACGAGTATCCTTTTTGCTCAACATGATCACTGAAAAAACAAGGGAAAGCAGATAATGACAGTCAAAAACCCCTCGAAGAAAGAAAGAGATGGGATCAATCAAATCCTGCAAATATATGAAGACAAAGTGTTTGGCTAAGCTTAAAAGCTACTGAAAATACTTATTAGTTGTTCCTGTATCTGTTGGGATAAATTACATTCCACCTACGAATAAAAGAATTACATATTTTGACTGTAAGGTAGGAGGTTCTTTTGTTGATTTCCGACTTTCACCTCACCAACAAAAGGTTATTTATTTTAAAATTTACTAACTTATACGTAAACCGTTTAGCAAAGATGGAGAAGACCTGTCTCTATATCATGTTTAACTGCTGAGTGGAACACAGTTCAGAAGAAACACAGCCGTAAATGTTTCATTCCTCTCACGAAGCAAATATGCAATCCGAGAAACTACAAAACCAGTAAACATAAAATTAAAGCTTCCCAGACTAACAATGTCTAAGAATCTGACAAATGAGAAGGTTTACGCTGCTGTCACCCACTGCTCCTCATGAGAGACTCCTAAGATTGTAAGATCATCAAATCTCTTCAACCAAAATCTACCCGTAAATGTATCAGATAACTACAAGAGCCATCTCAATTCCACCTACAACTTTCGAGAGAAAAAAGTAGTCTAAATATGCAACGAATAACATTACTATCCACAGCAGAATTAGTCATGACTATTAGAACAGTGCATAGCTACATTCATATTAAAAGTGGAAAACAGTATCATAATTTGATCAGAAATGCTTCATCATCTGAGCTTTATCCAAGAGACCTCAATATTTATATCAGTTAACAAACATAAGACAGAAAGAGCATCGATAGTGTTAAGAGTGGCATGCTGAACCATCCAAACACCCACTACATTAAAAATAGGATGTTCGCGAACTATGAGCATGCCCTCAAGTAAATTCCGAGATTTAAAACCATACCTTCTTTAAAAAAGAATCATCTAGTTGCCTAGAAAAATTTACATAATGATTTGGATAAAAGATTTCTACAAATATCATATCCTTAAACAATGAACTATGAGCATGCTCCTTAGTAAATTGCACTGAAAATCATAATTTTATGATTCAATTTATTGCACAAATAACAATCTATTGCACTTGCACCTTATAAAAATTTGAGCATTGGTTGAAAATGCAAGAGTAACACAATTTCACCCGATAGAACTCAGATAATGTGTAATCCTTTCACCTTTAGCAAGTTGAACTCATCACAGTTGAAGAATGTCAGCACCATCCATTCCATTTGTCCATTAAATTAAAAAAAAAAAAAATTTGGGGAAAACATCTGTTAGCATCCCTTATACGTGCAACTTTAAGAGTCAATCGCGAATCTCGGTTTCATTTTTCCTTAATTTTTTAATTAATGAGTGGCAGAGAGATTTCAAGCCGGGGCTTTTACCTTAATCTCGTCTAAGAGCTCAATTACATGTATACATTTAAATCTTACTTTCAATTTTCATAAGTTATAAAATAAAAATTGGGTAAAATTCCTAAATAGAACGAGTAAAATTCCAGAAAAAGAACAATGAAACCTGAAAAGAGTCGAAACAGACCGGGGGGAGTGCAAGAGGCCGAGCTTGAGAGGGCCGGAATGGAGCTCGGCCCACCGGATAGTGCAGACATTAATGGTGAATCCCAATCCTTCCGAGTAAAATCTAGCTGCTTTTGGCACATCCTTGTGTAGTTGGACTATATATCTGAACGTTGCTGCCGCCATTTCTCTCTACAGTTCTGCTTGGGAGAATAGGGATACAACAATGGCGCTCCGCGCTCATGGACCTAAACGACGTCGTAAAAATGGTGAAGTTCAAGCAATTTTGGGTTAAAATTGAGCTGGCTTAGTTAATGGGCTGAGCCCGTAAGCAAACAGAACTTTGGGATACTTACAAAAATTTGCTCTCTAATTTTTCTTTACTAAAAGTAACAGTTTTTTTTTTTGGGTACTTACAAAAATACCCTTAAAATTAGGGATATTTTGAAAAATCATATGAAATGTTTTTAGGAAGTAAAAAATACTGTATAAAATGAAAAAGTGACACTTCTCCTACCTATATAAAAAGAGTTAGTTGGATTGGTACTGTTCCTAAGCCATTTGAGCCGTTTGGCCGAGTCCAGTTGGGTGAGCCATGTTAGTTAGCCGAGCCGGTGTGCTTCATCATTGTCTGATTACTGATACTGATCAATACATTACTTGACTCCAATTCAGCCTTGCACGCTATCTCTTCCTACACGTATTAGTCCAATTTCCCTGATTTCTCACGCAACCATCAGAATTTTTCACTCAACCACCACCTTTTTCTTCGTCTCTCACAAACTTTTTTCTCTGTCCATTTCTAATTCAATTTCAGACGCAACCATCATCTCTTTGCATTTTTCTTTTCTTCTCTCACACTTTAACCTCTTTTCCCCATTTCTGAAATCAATGGAAGCCTTTCTGTCTTTCTCGATCGCCGCTATAGTAGAGATTTCTTCCTCTTCTTTCGTTGTTCGACTCCGCCGGCGCACTGCCCGAGTTCCGACGAAGTGTGTGCTCATTTAAAAATTATCGTTATCTTCACAAAGAAACATTACTCTTTCTATCATCAATTTTTTAAAATTTTGTATTTCTTTTTACCATTTCCTTTTGAGTAATTGTTGGGTTTGGATCCAGTTACATCATTATTATCTTCTAATTCATTCCCTTGGTTATTGAATCAGAGTTACAGAGAAGTTTTTTTTACGTTTTGTGCGCGTTTTCTACAAGTCCTTGACTTTTATTAGTAGTATTATTATTTTTTGGAAGTAATTCAAACTTTATCTGCATGAAATACTTGAATCCATAATAAAAAAATCTGACAAATAAAAAATCAATGCTTCTATCTTTAGGGGATTACAAATGCTTTTTCTTGTGCTTGAATCTTAGATTACTGATGCATCAGTTGCAGCTATTGCTTCAAGCTCCTCAAAGCTGGAATTACTTGATCTGAGTAGGTACGTTTCATGCCCTTGTTTTGGTATTTTTGATCTTAGAGGTAAAGAATTTGTCGAAATAATGGTTATCTTAACCAAGCCCTTGTACTTTCTGTTCAAAATGTTGTGTGCTTTGGTACAAATGCTATTTCTGATCCGCTTTAGATGTGACTACTTAGGTATGAAAATTTGATGGATATTTCTCTATCTGGGTATTTTATTTGCTTCAATAATTAAGTAAATATTTCCTTAATGCTATTTCTTTACATAGGTCAAGTAACAACTACAATGACACTGGAATGATTTACAACGTTTTTTCCAGAAACATTGTCAAAACTACTTCTTGCTCTTTGCTTCAACATAACTTCAAGTAATCTTCAATATTTATCAATTGAAGAAATGAATGCTACATTAATTGAACTTCAAGAATATAAACTTAAAGAGTGTCATCCACAAAGCCTAACAATGATAAGCTTTCAGATAGAGACTTTTTCTTCGCCTAATGATAATCCAATTCATGTGTATGCATTTGTGTTTAAAATTTAACTTATCCAACTTCATCATATAGAGCTAATTTTCAGGACGGACCAGTTGATAAGACAAAGCATTGGGATGATTTGGAAGAGGAGGAAGAAGAAGAGGAAGAACAGATTGAGGAAGAGGAACTGGAAGATGGCATTCAAT